AGCAAAGGCTGATGTCAGAAAAGATCACCACCAAACAGGTAAGATATTAACTGTTCATAGCCATTTCACAGAATGATTAATATAAGGGAAAAAAAATCCAAATAAATTAGAAAAGGGGAGGCGAGGACTGTTTGGTGGTGATCTTTTCTGACATCAGCCTTTGCTAATCTATATCACTTTGTCACTCCATGTCAGGGGTTTGACGCTGTAAATTGCACAAACATGGTGTGAAGTCCCTGTGAACCTAAGAATGCTCCCTTTCCCCCCACTTGTTGTAAAAATCTAAACCGACACAGGAGGACAGGGGAAGGCATGGTACAAGTTGACAAAGACTTGGCGACAAATTACCTACGACAAGTACTGAGTGGAGTTGTTATCTTCATGGTAATTGCATGTTGTTTCAGAGTGAGAGGAAGGGTTTAAAGAGGCAAGGGAGCAGGAGACAATAAGAGAGAGAGAGAGTAAAAGAACAATAAAAGGCTGTGAGTGTATTGGAAAAAACAGAAGAAAGAAAAGAAACATAAATCATATTCTCATGATGACAGTTTGCTGAGCCTGCAGCCCAGGGGCGCACTGAACATACATGCCGCCAAGTGTACTGTACAAACTGTAGGGCCCAGGGGCTGCGTTATCCCGTGTTTCAGCATATAACAAGGCCACGGCTGTGATATTACCACAATGTGTCATACTCATTAACTTACTGCATGCAGTCGTGCACTCTACAGATGGTGCACAGTCGGATTACAAGTGCAAAAAAGAAATTCAGATAATAGAGTAAGTGGAACAGATCTGCAAGTAAATTCACCCACCTCTTTGTTGTCATAGTCTTCACCAAGAAAGTTTCCATAACGCCTTCGCAGAAATCTTCCCAGCTCAAATTGCTGTTTCATTCCCAGCTGAAGGAAGGACCAAAACAACAGTCAATTTTCAACCGTCAACCTTGATAAACTTAGGAACCTATAGTTTTTTTACATATTTACGTCAAAAACAAATATTTACTCCATCTTTTGTGCATCACGTCACAAAATAATAATTGATGTGAACAAAACTGGTAATCAGTTGCCAAAGAGATGAACTAAGTATATATATTTTTATATTCAAGGCATTATTCTGCTTCAAACTTAAAACAGTTGATCAAATCTCTTGAACCAGGATTTTATAGAAAAGCTATGATTAATCAGTATCTTACCTGTTGTTGAGAACTTTTTGAAATTAATTTTGGGGAAATTGTGTTTAGATCTGAATGCATTGACGAGCAGCTAATCTGAACAGGGACAGGACTGACTTCAAGCGCCACAGTTTTGTAGTTTTTTTATACAAATACAATTTTGTAAACTTTATACACCTAATAATTTCACAGTGAATACAGCAGAAATATAGAAGTGCCTCAGGTTGTAGCAGAACTGCTACAGCTAGTTGCTGCTGATGATTGGCATTGCTTTAAGATGGCAGCAATCCACTTTACTCTTTGTTCTACTCATTCTAGTTGTTTGTCAATCCAGTCAAAATCAAACTCTACTTCATGAAACTAAGCTTGTTTTGAAGAACTATCTACAACAGATAAGATAATAATTGCTCATGCATTTTACAAAAGCTAGACTACTTTATTACAAAACTGTAATAAACAGAACTCTGCAGAAGTTAAACTGCAGAAGGTGTACAAAGAATTAAAAAGAAAACGGAAGACAAAAGCGTAAATGCTGACTCAGCATTTACTCACTGTGAAAACCTTGAAACTTTGTGTGTAATTTGTAAAATATACAAATACAATACAATACAAATAAACTTTGTGTACAAGGTGTTCTTTTATTACTATATTTGCTCATTCAGTAGTCAAATTTTAAGAGGGTTTTTTTTTGTCTTTTTTATTTATGGCGTTAAAGTATTAAAATGCTAAGTCATATTAACTTCCCTTGTATTTTTCACCCAGTCAATATTATGCATATCTTTTAAATTCAGTTTTGTCAAATGCTGCTATGTCTTTGCTGAAATCATGCAGAAATTTGACTGCAACATTTGCTTACACTTCTAAAATCCTTTCAGATGTAGTTGTTTCAGTTCAGTTTCAGTTCAGTTTCAGTTATTGTAAAAAATAAATAAATAAAAGAAAATGACAGAAACACAGAGTAGCACTATGTACCTCAGTGAGCTGTCCAAAGCCTTGAGCCCACACTTCCTCCCCATGTGGATCCCTGGGGTACGACTCAATAGGCGATCGATCGCCGTGTCGGAACACCTAAAAGTCAGAACAGATCATATCGCATGAGTTCAGATATCGGGCTGCTCCATCCTTTGCTCATGTACATCAGGAGGAGAAATCCACCTTTAGACAGACATCTTAAACATAAACCCTTAGCTGCCGACAGATCTGTCTCGATTTGTGGCCCCCATGAGTCCCTGTGCTCTGATCCATTAGTGTCATTAATGTTGAAGTCAAATTAATATATATATATTATTAAATGAAGTTAACCATTTTACAGCGAAGCAGACACGTGTGAAGATAAACAATTAAAAGCAATACATGTTGCAACAAACCTCGCAGGAGGTTCAAGCCTTATTTTACATAAATTAATGGGTTTCGTGTAAGTCAGGGGTTTGCCCTTTTCCAAGAAATCCGTGGTTGTATACTTTCTGTGCAGGTAAGTCATTAAAATATTTTTCCACGGACTCAAGATAGGTAACTGTAAACTTTAGAAAGGAGGCAATTAATTCCCTGGAACCCTGGAATGTTTCCCAGAAAGAAAGAAGCAAGGCTGAAGCTTTGTTCAGGGTTTCTTTAATAAATTTTAGATTTGGACGTCGGTTCAATATCCTGTGAAATTCTGTATATATACAAAATTTATGAAGGTGCTGTTAGGATAACTCATTGTTTTATTTAATGTATTAAATGTAATAAAATAACATTATCTTGAAGAAGACTAGCCTTCTCAGATACTGGAACACAAAGCTGAATTTATGAACCTGCCTGGCTCATATTTTACAATCTGACTCTAGACCACAAATCAAATTAACACAGCATTTTTGTTGTTGTTTGCAGAAGCAGATTATAAATGAAATACCACAAAAATGACATGCAGGGGATTTTAGAATCAATATGAATCGTATTGCATGAGAGCAAAGAATGACAAACTGTAAGGCAAACCAGCCAGATAAATATCTTCCTTTTTCATTTCAAGGGCTTTAGGTATCAAGACATAATACAACAATCTGATCTTTACCAGGGTGTAAAAGTATTTAAAGCTAACCTCAAGTAGTAAAATTCACAACAGATTTTAACATGTCCTTATTTACTAAACAAAAAAAAAAACGAGCCAAAATTGCATCAGATGTTTTTATTATTATTATATTTTTGTACCACTCTTGTAGCTTTGCTGGTGTTTGTTGTACATTTATTGAGTTTAATTTTTACTGATTTTGTGAAAGTTTATTTGATCATTCTCATTCTTTTTTGGTGCTTTTGTCATGTGCCATGCATGTTATTCTTCTGATCTGATTAAAGAGTGTAAAAAAAAAAAAAGGATGCAGCTCTTGCATGTACTCTTCATGTGTTTGCAACATATTAGGAGCTTCTGCAGACTTTACCTACTAAGGACTATTTTCATACTGGGTGAAGACCGTGCTGCCAGAATGTACGTAGATGATCCTTGCAGGATCTTGGTTTGGGAGGATAAGGTGTGAATTTAATTCAGCTTGCTTTCCACTATTTCTGATAGGAAAAGATAAGGCATGGAGGACTCTGAGGATGCACAAAACACTTCTGTAGCAAGGCTGTGGTGGTTTATGAGTGTAGTGTATCAGGGTTCTGGATAAGGCAGGGTAGTGTGGCAGTAATGTATTCATGATGTGGGATTCATGTAAACCAGTGTAGTTTAGTTATCGAGAATGTGAAGCAGAACTGGCCACACTGGCCTCATATCTAGGCTAGAGACCCATCACACTCTGCGCTGTTAGCACTTTAAATAAGTTTAATAACACTTTATGTGTCATGGCTGCTTCTGTATGTGCGTCAGGCGTCTCCACTGCTCTCGCTACGAACAATTCGATGACGCCACATTCTCACCTTGTGGCTGCAATGACCAGTCTATAATGTCCATGTGCCAATAAACACCAAGTGTTAAAAAAAAAAACTGTTTCTACTCCCAAGGAGGTTTGACTGCTGCAATCCATCCATGTTTTATCAATTTAGTGTAATCAGATGCTATTTTTTGTACATCTCCTAATAGAGTATTTTAACAATGTTCATGTAAATGTTCTATGTCTTTTTAATCAATGTTTACTTATTCATAACAATTGTTATAACGTAGGTAACTTTTTTCATTTAAATTTGAGTTTGATTTTAAGACACCTGTGCAGAGACTATAGACAGAAGGTACTATGTTCATTAATGTGTCATTTCAGGGTTTAGAATAGAATAGAATAGAATAGAATAGAATAGAATAGAATAGAATAGAATAGGTATTCATTTGCCTCTTAGCAGAAAAATGTGTCCTGTTGCAACAAGTTCAAGATAAAGACGTGAAAAAAATCAAGTAAATGCAAAAAAGTAACAAAAGCACAAGGTAAATAAAAACCCATAAAAACAAAAGTACATAAATCAGAAAGCATATTAAAAATAATTCTATTTTTTGGCACCACTTTACAATAAGGATCCCCTAATAGATGGTAATAAACAGTTTATAGATATGGTATTAATTCCTCAATAATCATTTTATAAATCATTAATAAATGTTTATTATGCATTAATTAATGGTGATAGAGAGACAAAACTGACAAGTTTCTTGCCAAATAGTGAACCAAATCTGTTCCTTCCATCTGGATTTGTTATATTAAACATTTCAGACTAAGTTACTACCTTGTAAGAACAATAAGCATTTGTAAACCTATTTCTTTAGCATATAATACTGTACTTTATCACTGCATTATAAGTTTCTATGGCTAATATTATATCCTTAAAAAAGTAGGTTTACAAATGCTTATTGTGCTTACAAGGTAGTAACTTAGTCTGAAATATTTAATATAACAACTCCAGCTGAAATAAATAGGTGAACAGACTTGGTTCACTATTTGGCAAGAAACTGGTCAGTTTTGTCTGCGTCACCATTAATTAATGCAGAATAAGCAATTAATGATTTATAAAGTGTTTATAGAGGAATTAATAACGTATGTTTAAACTATTTATTAGCCATCTATAAGGGGAGACTTATTGTAAAGTGGTACCTATTTTCTATTATTACAAGTGTCTAAAAATATTACATTTAAATATGTCATCACTTATGTGCTAAATGACATGAATTTCAGTAATAAAACTTCTCTAGGTTTTGTAAAAAAAAAAAAAAAAGACATAATAGACTCAAAGTTTTGGCAGAAAAGCCTTTCATAACTGCATTTTTAAAAATATAACAAATCAACAGTTTATATTTTGGCAAAAACAGATTTTAAAGTTTTCAGTCCAAAGGGTTGACTATTACTTTTAGCAGAATCATACTGTGACTACTTTGTGTCACATTTGATGTTGTAAAATGATTTATGAAAACAATAAAATGTAAAAATCCCATGTAAAATGACAGACACAATGCCACTTGAACTGTTTGCTAGAAACCATTTTAACAAAAAACCTCAGTCCCAAAGCTCAACCCCTGCTGCTATTTCACATAAAAATAAAATTTATTTCATTTTTTTCATTTAACAGTTTCCATCTTTTGTTCACATATGCAAAAAGGTAATATAACACTTAATATTTGAACATTTGAGCAGCACTTAGAAAGTGTTTTTGTGTGTGTGTCTTTATGTAATTCAACTGTGTACTGAAGTGTTACATAAAGAGGTTTATGAAGAAAGCTGCAGTGTCTATGAGAGATATGCACAAAACCATCGCTGGTTAGGCTCAGAGTAATCCTTTGTAATAAAAGAGTAAATAAAATAATATTCAACGGGCAGAAAAACGCAGAGTAATCAGCAACAATGCGAATCAAAAGAAGCTGTCAGATTATGGTAAAATCACGCCGTACAGCAAACAAGAGCTGTCAGTAAGACTTTGCAAACATCTAGTGCACAACTGGTTTGAATAAACAGCTGAGTTTAAAACTGAATCGTGAAATAGAAATACTGCGATTGTGGATTTGAATGTAAAGGGAAATGAGCAAACTTACAGCAACGACAAACTTAAGCTGCCGGGAATCGGTCAGGCAGAGGCAGCACAGGAGGTAGAAACAGGTCAAACTTGTCTGAAACGTCTGCATCTTCTTGATTCATCAACCCTGGCTTATTTTGTCTCTGCTTAATGTGAGAGAGAAAAGAAGAAGAAGAAGAAAAAAAAGTCATATAAGGTGGGTTTATGTCAGCTGGACTCAAATATTTCTTTACAAATTCTATGCAAACACATCAACATATCATAGTATTCAAATCTAAATAAAGGAGGTACTTGTTTCGGCACATTTGGACACATTTTGCTGATTTACACAGACTGCTGTGTGTCACACATCTTCAAACATACAGAAAGTGTCAGTAAATCCTTATTTCGTTGAATCTATCCAGTCCACTTACCTGACTTTGTCCTTCTCACCTTCTTTCTTCAAGAGTTTCTGCTCCCGCTGAACTTCATCATCAACTGGTGCTTGAATCACTGCCAGCTCCCTGTTGTGTACCTGACCTGACAGACAACTAGACAGACAAAACATGGATGGCTGCACTCGAAAGCCTCAGTCAGTCACATGCTCTTAAGGGCACTAGGTAGTTTTTTTTTTACCTCAGTGACAAAGATATGGCTTGGATGCACCCACCTGGTTTCACAAATTGCATTCTCTAGAGTATAAGCACAGATGTTTGAACTAATACGCTGGCCTCTGGGCCACAAACACTCATTAACACATGCTACGTCATCTGCTTTGGGTTTACCTTCACAATTACAGGCTCTGCAGTGTCTTCTCTTACTTAGCATTTTTGTAAGTATGAGTTAGTGCTGAAACATCATCATGGGATTTAATGGGTTTACTGCAAGTGGAAATTTAAAGCCACACACATTTACATCATGTGTGACAACAACTGTAAGATTGATCCTGTTACTGATAAAATTCACAGAGCTGGCTTGTTAGAGTAACAAACAGTTTGAATTACAGGCCTCTTATTATTTGAAGGAATGATTATTGAATGACACCTTTTATGCCACGACTTTAGATTAAGATCAATTTATGATGAGAATGGACAGAGCTGTTTTAGTCAGATCCTACAAAAGGTACTGCACAGTCTCATACAAGATCTCACATTAGTATGTGTTAAAGATGGTAGTCAGCTACTACCACTCCAAACTTTAGCTCAATATCTATAAAATTTACTGAATTATAGTCATTTAAAATCTTCAAAATCTTACTTCTAACCTACAAAGCCCTCAACAACCTAGCTCCAGCTTATATTACAGATCTTATTGTCCCATATTTTCCTAAAAGAGCACTTTGATCTCAAAATGCAGGCTTACTTGGGGTTCCTAGAGTTTCCAGGCGCAGAATGGGAGGAAGATCTTTCAGTGATCAGGCTCCTCTCTTCCAGTTTCTGTCCATGAGGCTGACACACTCTCCAGTTTTAAAACGGGGCTTAAGACTTTCCTTTTTGATAAATCCTATAGTTAGGATTGGCTTGTTATGCTGCTTTAGGCTTAGACTATTGGAGGACAAATTGACCTCATTTCCTAAAATGAATTATCACAAATGAATAGTTTGTATTTGAAATTATTTCTATCTTAACGTGATTCTCGACCTGCCATTGTGTATTTGTTCCTCCTTCCTGTTCCTTTCAAACTCAGCCGGTTGAAGCAGATGGCCGCTTGTCCTGAGCCTGGTTCTGCTAAAGGTTTCTTCCTCATGAGAGAGTTTTTTTCTTTCCACTGTTGCCTTTATGCTTGCTCAAGATGAGGGTCTGTGATGAAGTTAAACTTGAAGCAGTCTGCTCCTCAGATATATACTGTTATTAAATTAGATAGATAGATGGATAGATGGATGGATGGATGGATGGATGGATGGATGGATGGATGGATGGATGGATGGATGGATGGATGGATGGATGGATGGATGGT